TTATCATGAAAATTTGATTTTGCCTGATTCTTACGTGGACCTGTACTTAAGAGTTTGTCTTACAGAAAATCGTTCACGGTAGCTCAGTCGGTTAAGCGCTCGCTCCGTGATAGGGAGGTCGTGAGTTCGAATCTCGGCCGCGACTGACCTAAGTCAATAAAAATGGGTAGCAACTGTTCCTTCGCTATGCGCTCGGCACTTTGAAGTGAAAGTTGCCCGTCCTTCGGATGAGACCTTAAAAACCAAGGCCCCGTGTCACGGCAAGCGTTGGCACGATAAAGATCCCTCACTGCTCAATGGCCCTGAGTGTCGAGTAAAGGTCAAAATTTGAAGCCCTTCACCGGTATATGGTGACGTCTCTATATGAGTGGAAAATTCTCGAATGGGACGTAAAACAACATACAATCAACAATCTTACAGAAAAAATGTATTACTGTATCTAAATTATAATGCATGAATTTTCAAGGTGGATAATATCCTTCAAAGTTCTTTGTGAAGCAGTTATTTTATTTTGACTAATAGAAAAATAAACATAGTTCATTCATAATTATTTCTAACTGCTTGGAATTTATTTTCAGATATGGGTGTTTGTCCTCAGAAATGCCGTGTAAAAATCGCATACTTGTATTATGGATATAGGTATCAGCTGACAGATATTGATCTTAATTTCATAACTGATTATTTTGCAACGAGATGCAACAGTAATAATTATAATAGAACTCTGGAAATTGTTTGCAAAATAGACACAAAAAATGGTAAGTTTTTTTCCATACTGCGTAAACAAATGTGTTGTACTAGTCATTCTTTTTCATAGCTTTCTCATAGCTGTAGAAAAATAGCTGTCCAACTAAATTTCGTAGAGAAAAGTTATATGGCTTTTCAAAAATCATCTCTTAAAGTAACTTATGTAGGTTATTATTTATAACATGTAATCAGAAATATCTAAATGAAATAATTTTATCTCAGCTTTGAGATAAAGATTAAATTTTGGTGTTATACTATAGCTATCTGGCATTTCTTAGTTATGAAATCAGTGTAAGAAAAAAAATGACTATATTTAAAGAATTAGTGAACAGAAACTGGTACTGTTGATTTGTGTTTTCTATTAAGGATAATACTATCGTTCTACACATACATATTCTCTGAATTTGTTGTTAATATATTTTGAAGTCTATATGTTTCATACAAATTATTAGGCAGTTGTTTTAACATTGAAATTACTGGATTTTCTACCTGATCAATACATAGGCCTCGCGGCGAATGTGACAGGTTAAAGGGGGTGCTTACTCCTCTTAGGCACCTGATCCCACCCCTGGGATTTATGGAGGTCCGTGTTTTATGCCATGTTAACAAATTTGTGTTGTTTATAGATTTTTGAGATCGATCACTGTACGTCATCTTCAAAGAATTGGGAAACCTCTCAAAAACAGAATGATATACAGCTTAAATCTCAGAAATATCATCATAGAATCAAAGCCAAACCTCCACTGAGATTGTCAGATCAAAATATCAGTAACTGAAGGCAGAATCCGGTCGATATAATAAAACGCGTACACATGTACACAGTGTTCGAAAAATTTGAGTAATCTCATACACTAATGACAAATGACAAAATTTATTCCATCTATCTTTCAAACTTTATTAGCACTGTTTATTTTTTCTGCAGCAGAATAATTTATTCAAAAACTTTTACATGGCCCTATATTCCACATAAGCACACTGAAGTATATCGACGACACAACATTTTATCAATAAACAATTTTCATTGATATATCCCGTAAAGTTGAAATAAAAGATACCACAGAGTCTGTAATATCTGTTTAATATTTGGATGTTTTACTGACTATATATGTAAATGGAAAGTTGACAACTAATTATAACGATCAATTTTTAAATCGAGATAAACTATTGAAAGATAAGTTGATGTTCCAAGGTTTTCAACAGTCTTGTACAAAAGTCAGGATTTCGTAAATTATATACACCGTACTAAGTAGTTGTTATAATGAACTCGTTGTAAACACAAAGTACCGTTAAGAGAATAACCATTAGATAAAGTTAATTGCTTATCTACGTTTCGGCTTTAAAATAATCTGAAAGAATCCAATAATAAACAAAAAATAAAACTTCACTACAATCTGATAATATATTGAATTGCTTTCGTTCATTATTGGACAATTGCAGGTGGATTTTCAATAAAATTCAATCTAGAGAATGACTTCGTGGGAAAGTTAAGACTTCCCGAAAAATATCATTTATAATTACATCCTAAGCTGTTACTTCTCTGAAATACAAAGATATGACGTCATAATTGAAAATGACGTCAAGTCACTGCATACTTGAGCATTCATGACGGGGAAAATGTCATAAAATTCAAGTCTTATTTCCAATCACATGTTAAGTTTTAGAGCGTTATTGTAAAATCCATGCCTCTTGACTGTTGTTTAAAGCCCGAGGGTGTGTAATTATTGTTGAATATTACAACGTTACATCGGTAAATTTATCTAGATTGAAATTATATGTATTCAACACTTTATTGTAAAAAACTTGAATTTGAAATGCTTCCGTTAACGGGACCATTGTTTAGATGTAGAATATATAAGTGTGTATAAAACAGGCTGGTGCAAGTGTTTAGTTAGGATGAACTTTTAAAAATTGTGAAAAAATATACGAAAAAATTTCACTGATTGAATTTTGCTTGGGATGGAATTGTTATCGCTTCGCTTTGGTATAAATTACAACAAAGACAGGAATATACCCTCAAATATGTGGGTAAGTTCGATAAAGTTCTCATGAAATATCTCATACACTAATGATGGCTCGTCCCAAGCACTTTTCAGGTAAACAAGGATATAATAATTTTATTTATGTATCGCAGAAGCGATATATGTGCAACACTTGTAAAAATTATAAGTGACGGTCGTGATCAACTGGGTCATGTGATATCACAACAAGTGTGTTAATGTTTTGTTGAGAGATCTCTTTATACAAATTGTCTGTATTTATATTTATAGTCTACATATATATTGAAATAAAACCGAGCTGGAAATGTGGTAATATGTTTTGAATGGAATTTAATGCTTCGGGTAGCCTTGATATAGCTGCGTTAATGAAATAAAATAATTTGATGAAACTTATGAGTTCGGTGGTTCTTTATACTAACTGAAAGATTTTAAGTTAATTCTTAAAATTTTTCGAACACTGTGTACATGTGTACGCGTTTTATTATATCGACCGGATTCTGCCTTCAGTTACTGATATTTTGATCTGACAATCTCAGTGGAGGTTTGGCTTTGATTCTATGATGATATTTCTGAGATTTAAGCTGTATATCATTCTGTTTTTGAGAGGTTTCCCAATTCTTTGAATTTGCTGATAGGTTGTCTGATGGGCTAAATATGACTGATTCTATGTTCTGTGTATGCTTTTTTCGGGTCCTATATGTACAAAACCTCTTTTTCGTGCTACAGTAAAATTTCTCTGAATGCGCCAGATTTTGATATAAGCTCCGTCAATCTTATAAAATTTTCAAGATATCATATAACTGAGAAATGTTGTTCATGCGCTTTGAGCAGGAGTAAATTCTATATGATGAGAAACTCTGTTGATTTTTTTTTTTTTTTTTTTTTTTTTTTTTTTTTTTTTTTGAATATTTATTTTGGGGTAGGCATTTCGAAAGATATTTGTACATCAACAAAGGATTGTGAAGAAGAATCCAAGAAATGTCTATTGACGGGAAACATCGGCATCTGTATATGTAAACCCGGGTATATAGGATTCAAAAACAAATGCTTAGAGGGTAAATATTAAAAGGAATATTTATACTGCATTTACGTACTAGTCATTGCTATCAGAGGTAATATTTAATAAGACACAATCAATCATACATTTTAAAGAATACAAGACACGTTTATATTTTAATTGGGGTGACTTTTAAAAAAAAAAAATCTTAACATGCTTTTCCCAACACAATGAATAGTGATTTTCTTTTTATAATCAAAATTAATATACATGTTTATGAATATTTTTGGATTAATGCACTATTTTCAGGCTATTTGAAACTGAACGAAACCTGTGAGCAGAATGAACAGTGTTCTGGGGCATTTGGATCAGTTTGTCAGAACGATACATGTGTCTGTAGACCAGGTTATATCCCGTTGAATGATTCGGAATGCATTATGTGTAGGTTGATTTTAATCTTTCATGAATCATTTTATAGACTAATTTCACATTGGACATATGTACAACTAAATGTTATTTTGCACAAGTACTTATAGTTCAATCTAAAAATAATAAATATATCAAATCTTGATTTCCCTTGTTTCTGGAAAAAATTAGCGAATTACATATTTTTTCACACATATATATCTTTAAATATTCTCAAAGTACTGCGGTATGATTATTGAAACTTTCTTTTTATATTGCTTACCATTAATGGAAAAATACGTTATTGCTTAAAGCAAACCAAGGCGTACATTCTCAAGCAAGTATCCAGGACCAAACAGGTATTTAAATTTGTATATTATCGACATTATCCTTGCATTATCCTTTCAGGTAAATGAAAAAATACCCATTAAAATACAAGGTATCATAAATGTGCTTGTTTCTATCATTTTTAAATAGACATTCATTTTCAAAAGTTCTCTTTGCTCGATATCTATACATAAATGTATGATTTTGTAAGGTATCAAAGATATATTAAGTTCACCAAATTGTTTAATTTTTTGCACCATTTCAGAAGACAAAATTGGCGGTGTGACAGTTGGATCTCTTTTTGGTGGGCTTATTCTAGGCGTTATCCTTACTATTTTTGCAGGAACCCTCTTTTATTGCTTACAGCGTCTTCAGGTGGTAATTGTCAAACAAATATCCTGCACAAGAAAGGTATATTTTTTTTAGTTCAGATAAAATATGTAAAATTACGCGTTTTCATTACTTGTACATGTAGGTAATTAAAAATTTCTTTTTCTTAAGGACAAATTTCGCCAAACAAAAATACGAACATGAGGGAAAAGAAGTGGGGGAGGGTCAAAGAACAATACTAGTAGCTAAAATCAAAAATATATATGCTCCCTGAAGTTGCAATTTGGTTTTTTTTTTTTAGAAATACGACTTTTTTTGTAAAGGTATAAAGAGCTTACGAAAACCTTGTTATTATTAGCTGTTATATTATTGCAGAAGATAACGTAGTGAGTGTGATAGCTGGATCGGGTCTTGGTGGCCTTACCCTAGGCGTTATCCTAACGGTTCTTACAGTTATCATCTATCAAAATACATGTAAATACATGTAAACGAAATGGAAAATCTAAAGCCGAAGTGAAGTATGAAACGATTCAGTGCCTATTTGCTATGGTTCAGTTTTTTATGGGTTTTAGCATGTTTTATTAAAGATTAGATTCATCTTAAAATTCTTTAAATATCTTATTTAGAGAATGCCAGAAGGTTGCATTTGTCAACATCACTTCTTATGAAACTGAAAAAGATGCAGTTCAGAATATTCCAACAGAGCGTCGCACAAATGAGGTAAAACATACACAAAATAAATTTCACTACGTAATAAACAGGTAGAAACAGTGATTTTTTTTTTTCTGAAAACACATATACCCCTTACTTCTGTTATTTCACGGAAAATCGGAAAATCAAATCTCGATAGCGTGGAAAAAAAATACCTATTTGTTGAACAAAGGATATTAATTCCAAGGGCTGCAAGTGGGAGCATATTCTCTTGAAAGGTATATGCAGAAGTCCAGCTGGAAAAGAACTTCTTAGGTGTCAAATACAAAATTGGAATTTGACATTCTACCCTGCAAAATTTAATGGTTGAAATGTTGGTAAAATAATTTTATTGGCCTATGATTTATGTGAATTACGAGAATCAATTAACTTAATAAATCTTTAAGAATTTCAAGCATCGGAGACAGATACGTATGCTAGTATACAGGTCTCTGAATGCACTGCTTTATAGGAAGGGATACTAAATATCTTCCATCAGTGCTTCTTGTGACAGTAATTATATGCATGATTGGGTAAAAAAAATTCATACAAACATACACATTTTGCACAAATGAACAAATTGAGTCGAAAGATAAAGGGGTTCATTTACAAGATTCTCTTAAGTTGCTGTAGAAAACTTTTTTTTTGGCTAAGAATAACTTGTGATGATGTTAAGAAATATTTCATTATATGTGGAACTTTGATGGAAAAGGCAAAATGTATTATATCAAAAATTTGGTTTTCCAGAGAACAGTTGTAAATGTGTCACCACTTGCTCAATCTATTGAATTTCGAGTAAAGAGAAACGACAAAGAAGCAAAAAAACCTTCGTTTGGGAGTAATGACGTAAATGATGACGTGTACAGTCATCTGCATGAAAAGGAGGATCCAAACATTGATGAAAATTACGACCACACCCACGTAATCCCTAATCAGATGATGGGAGACAGTTACTACGGTAATCTTAACACAGGAAGAAAACACGAAGGGAAATAGAACTAAAATACTGCCGAAGCAAAAAGAAACATGTGTTTTTCCGAATGCTGGATAACTTTGGATTTTTATTCTAAAACTACCTTTTTTACTTTTTAATTGGAAAATGCAGAATTTGTGCTTTTATTAATGGTTCTCGAAAATTTATTTGAGATTTGATAATTTTTCCTATATGATGAACAATAATGACGAACTCTAAAAAAATAACATTGATCAATACATAAAAAATTTTCAATACAATTAAATTTTTTGTTAGCATATTCATTTTTGAACCACTAATTTTCAAAACCTGAGAACATATAACTTTAGTCCTACTTCATACGATTATTTGTACAGACATAAATGACAAGATAGGCTAAGACCCCTTTTTGGCCCCTGGTTTGGGGTGTCTTTTAGAAAGATGCAATAGTTTATCAATAAAAACCAGTTGTCACCCCTGCCACAAAATGAGTATTGGTTCTAAGTTATGGGATACACTGAGGTCACAGGAAGGTCAGAAAATATGTCAATTTCCGAATTTTCTTATTTTTATGCAAATTTTCATTGCTTTTACAGCACATTTTGTTTCGGAAAACATAGAGCACAAGCTTGCCTATCTACTAAATTTATAAATTTTATACACGAGTATCCAATGCATCTTATTTATAGCAAGCTTGTGTTCTATGTTTTCCGAAGTGAAAAGTATCTAAAATTTGACGAAATTCCACAAGAATTGAGAAAATTCAAGAAAATGTCCTACTTCTGCACCCTCATGTGGCCTCCGTGTAAGCTTTGAATTAAAATTAGTGCTTATTTTAAAACAAGCATCATTTTCAGTTCTTAACTATAAACTATCACAATTTCAACTGTGTTTGATTTTTACATCAAATAAGGGGCCAGATTCGGCCCTTACCGTACCAATAAAAGACCATTGTTTGTTAATGTGTATTGAACAGTTGCAAACCATTAATTCCTGCACCAACAAACAATGTAAGCAATGCAGTATTTCAATATGTCCACTACAGTCACATTTTACGTTTCTTTTATAATCAATGCTTCAGCTTTAAAAAAGCTCCAGTTACCCTATGTTTACATAGGGTAGATTCACCATCATGTGGCGGTTCATTATGTGCTGTATATATTGTCTTCGGCGACAATATATACATACCTTCACTGCATATATTGTCGTCCATAGCCATCTCTACATATTGTCACCAATCGAGACAAGACTTTTTTTTCCCTGCATAATGGAAGACAAAATGTGCAGTCACGCAACGGCACATATTGTCGTCGGCAACAATATGTACAATATGCACGTTTTGTCGCCGATATACTAGTATTCTGGTGAAGAAATTTTACTAAGGTCGTGAAGAGAGAGAGAGAGAGAGAGAGAGAGAGAGAGAGAGAGAGAGAGAGAGAAGAAAGTCAGACAGACAAAAGGATAGACAAAGTGTATGGTAGTATATTATTAAACAAGTATAATTCATTTATTTAGTATTGCTCGCAATACTGTACGGAAAAAAGTTTTGGTCTGAAAATTATGTCCAGGATTGGTGTACACCACTATTATATACCAAGATACCGTGATTCATGATATATCTGATAAATCAGCCTATTTTTTTCTCTTTATACATATTTAAAATTGAAAGTTAATTTTTTTGTTCAGTAATAAAGATTATTTGAGAAAATTTTTTGCTTTATTCTTATACATATGCCAATATAATTGTGGTTGGGATCGAAAATTTTAGCTCACTTGAACTGAAAGCTCAAGTTTTCTGATCACATTTTGTTCGTCGTTCGTCTGACAGTCCGTCTGTAAACTATTCACATTTTCAGTTTCTTCTCAAGAACTCCTGGGCCAAATTCGACCAGACTTGCCAAAAAGCATCCGTGGATAAAAAAAAAAATATAGTTCAAATGATGGACTGTGTCCCCTTACAAGGGAAAATAATTATATGTAAGAATAAGTGAAAAAAAAAATATTGATATCTTTTAAAAATTTCTCAAAAACCACTGTGCTAGAAAGTTGAAACTTATGTGAAAGCATTGTCGGGTCTGGAAGATTTCCAAATATGGAAGTCAAGAACGACAACTGAAAGTTGCTATAAATATACATCATATACACGTTAATATTTTCCTGCCCAGTCAGACAACAGCATTTTTACACACCTCAAAATATATTTCAAATTAACAATAAGATAACATGTGCTTTTGTTTTTTCTTCCTAAAAAAGATTTTTTATGGGGGGGGGGGGCAAAAAACCTTCACAAGTAAGATGACATTTTCTTAAGAATAAGGTATTCCCCAAATATTTACCGTGAACAAACATGACATTTTCATCTCGGAAAAGAAAAAAAAACAATGCATGTAATAATGTGATCGTTTACGGAGGAATAGATGACATCGTCAAGCTATTATCAATAACAATTATAACATTTACCAGAACATAATACAGTATAATTTTGCTCAGCCGTCAGATTTTCAGCGACAACGCTTAGTTTCCATGCGTATAGATCTACCGCACACAAGTATTCATCGGAAAGACTACATGTATAGTTTTAAAATAGCACGGGTTTCATGAGCGTTGAATACCATGTCATAAACACTTTAAATAGACATAAGAAAAGTTGTAAATCATGGAGAAGAAGGGAATAATTATACATGAATGCTTTTTACATCACATCTTACCTCGCATGCAGAAACTGCATGGACGATTTTGTAACAAACACTCAAAAAATAATTAATACTGTTATCCATACGAAAACATTTTCACGTCAAGCTCTAAAAACTGAAAATCTGCCGTATTTATATCAAATTTCTTAACACAAGGTAAACTTTTGGGATTGCTAACTTGTAGTGACAGATTTTTAATCCCCCTTAGAATTTATTGTAGGCTTTCAAGTCGTGTTTGGTCACGGTAGAATTGTCAAATATATTATATTATTCCTAAATATGCATTAAGTTTACAATAAGTTTGTTCTACAAAAATCTTTTGAGCAAAAAACTTGAAAACCACGTGTTTTATTTATTTTCTCATGGGTTTGTCTAAATGCCGTCATCTAATTGGTCAGAAGGATTAGCACCTTGTTTATTCTGTGTATTTTTAGCTTTTCAGGGTTATCGATCTTGACTTCCGTATTTGGAAATCGTCCAGACTTGTTTATTATAAGCGTGGATTCCATTTTGTTCAGATCATGACCAGGGGATGTTTTACATAGGAATATATAGTGAAAAACTTTCAGTATCTTCTTCTAGAAAACTTATGGGCTAGAAGATCTAGAGTTGATACTTATTTGAAAGCTTCATTACATAGTGTACATTCAATTTTTTTTTTATTAAATCATGACTCCCAGGGGTAGTGTGGGGCCACAATTGGCGATCAAAGTTTTACACAAGAATATTTATATAGAAAATCTTTAAAAGCCTTCTCAAGAACAGCAAAGCCATTATTACTCACTATCCTCAGGTAGTGTAGATTCAAGCTTAAGTTTCTTAAAATCAATACCCCCTAGCCTATCATAGTGTTACATCAGAATTAATAAGAAATTTCTTTAGAAATATTTCTCTCAAGAACAGCAAAGTAATTATAAGTCGTATTTATATGGAAGCATTGTCATGTATTGCCATGCGACATGTAACGATGGACGACAATATATGCAGCTAGGGTAGGCACATTGTCGCCGGAAACAATATGAACACGACGACAATATGTACCGTCACAATCGCGCTGCATGAAACATACGAGATACGTCAGTGTGATTTACACACCACTTAAATTAATAAACTACAAAAAAACTACGAAGACATCTTTAAGCATCAATATATGTAGGTTGACAATATGTGCAGTGAGGGTAGGCACATAGTGTTGCCAGCGAAAATATGTACATGTGTAACTTTACAGTCAGCAAAAATATGTACCGATGGACGACAATATATGCAGAGAGTGTACATGCACGTACATATATGTAGATACATATTGTCACCGCCGACAATATGTACAGAACGACAATATGTACCCTCACACATACGCGCACTTGAAATACATGTAGCTCTAGCGATATCGCTACCGACCGAATATTATCAAGATGGAGCTTAACATGTATTATGTAATAAGATATGAATTTAAGGCATGGTTTCTGCTATTTATTGAGAAAATATTATTAAAAAAATAGATTTTTTTAGAATAAGTCAGAATTCACCATGGATCGGACAGTATTCATCATGCTTCGGACAAACGGTATATTGAACAGCAAAATTGTCTAACCTTATCGCGGTGGCCTTTAAATAACCATAAAATACTAATCAATTAATGACATGATGATGTTTTTATGCTTAATTTAAAAAAAACACTCTATTTTCATTTGATTGACTATATATGGAGAATGTTAGTTGCATCATATCGCCTAAGATAGGCCTCGTATAAGGCAACTAGTGCCTTGGTTTTTTTTTTTTTGGTTTTTTTTTTGGGGGGGGGGTATAGATCTTTTAATATGGAAAAAAGGCTACTTCCATTTTTCATATATCAAATCGTATTTTCATCGAATATGCTGAATTTATATATATATTTTTTTTCTACAAAAACAGCCCCCAGGTTTGGTATTATTCTTGATCTCTAAACAAAATGGAAGTAATTATCAGTGCAGCGGATGTTCAATGCATGGCTAATTTGTGTCCCATGAATGGTTAAATGAACAAACTAGTTAAAAACAACTCTAAGGAAATTAATACAAACTTTTAAATGACATTTCTTGAAATCTTCTACAAAATTTTCAATGAAATACCAATATGGAGAGAAGGAACAGTTCTAGTAATCAAGCTCAAAAGTCCCTTGAAACAATACATATTGGGAGCAGAACAAACACGGACCTCTGAGAACATTAGAGTGGGATCGATTGCCATGGAGAAGTAAGCAATCCACACCGACTGGTTAGACCCGCCGTATGCTCCTTGTTGTGATCGGGCAAACGGAAAAATCCGTAGTCAATTCAGTGTGTAAAAAATGTCTAACAATTAGTATTGAAAACGTTAGTCA